CCCCCCCCGTGCAAGCAACAGGCTGGGCAGGGCGCCGAGGTGATCCACAGTTACTTGGACAGTTCATCCTCGACTGTGGTCTGTACTGCTGCCGCTCGCTCGTTGAAACGAGGAGGAGAAGAGTTCGGCTTATACCCCGCCCTTGCTTCCCCCCCCACAACAGACACTCTGGGAGGCATATGGGGCTGGGAGCTCGGAGAGAGAGAGCTATGACTGACCCAAGGTCCCCCAGCTGGCTGCACCGGGAGGAGAAGTGGGGAATGAAACCGGGTTCTCCCAAGTCAGAGCCCGCAGCTCTTAGCCCCCACGCCAAACTGGGGTCCTCCCATGGAATTTTTGCATCATTTTAATGTACCCTTAACACTTGGCTTCAGTTCTGTTTTGAGCCTTCTGGTTGGCTCTACAGCCCTAATTCCTATTCGTATTAGAGTACAGTTTGAGTCCAGTGGCACCTTTACGACCAACAAAGTTTAATTCTGGGTAGAAGCTTTCCTGTGCTTATTCCCAGGATGGGCCAGGGGACTCCCAACTTTGATCTGTTGCTTCAGACCAACACAGCTACCCACCTGATCCTATTTGCACTGGTCCCCTCGGACTGTATTGTTTCACTCTGCATAATTCCACCTTGAGTCCAAGTGAGAAAGCACACAAAACCCACAGCGAATAGTCCCTTCCTAAGGGACATTTTTGGCCAGGCAGCCCCAGCGGATGGGACCTTGATCAACCAGAGGAACCTCCTGGAAAGGCTCCCTTGATCTCCCCCCCCCCCCCCCCCCCAACACTACAAAAAGGATAGGAGCAAACTTCTCCTTTAAGCCTTAAACACTTTCCCCAACAATGTCACTGTCCTGTCCTGAAAAACACATAATGCTCTACATCTGACAACAGCACTACAGATAAGATTAGAATTTCAACAGACAATCCATATGCAAAAGAACTCCCTCAGGAAAGCTCCTCCGTTAGCATGTCATAGCCTGGGGAACTCCTACAAGATAATGATGTGGCCCTACATGGTTGCATGGCGATGAGAGATAGTCTAGAAGGTTGAAACAGGCAAGTGGTGTGCAGTTGGCTTTCAAGTGGAGAATTTTTTCAATTTAGAGATCATATTTAGTAGCAAAAATGATCTAGGTTTGATATATTACTATCGCTTCCATAAACTTTAGCGCTACTAATTTCCCAAGGCTCTTCCACAGGACTCAAATCAGCTTCAAGAACTGCTTAATTGCTAGAGAAGCAACTGTTAATGAGTGCGTCACATCACCAGCATAAAGAGGAATTTTAAAATCAATCATTGGTTTACTTCGACACCATAAATATTTGCATGACTACAAACCATAGCTGCAGGGCAGATAAGGAGCACTGGGACTTCAAACCCTGCCCAACTTTTCTAAAAAAAAATAATCAAATTCTAAGTTGTTCGGATGCAGCTACCAAAAATTAATGGCTGGTATAGGGAAGTTCAGAAACGCCAGGGCCCAAACAGCACTGTTGCTCTGCACCCCTGCAGGATAGGTGCTGGTGGCACCATCTGGTGGGAATCACCCCTCCCCCATTGGAAAGAACAGCACCAGGAAGAGGTCATCTGAGAACATCAGGAGAGCCCTGCTGGATCGGACCAAGGAGGGTCCATCTAGTCCAGCCTCCCGTCTCACACAGGGGCCAGCCAGTTCCTCTGGAGGGCCAACAAGAGGGCACAGAGGCCAAGGCCTTCCCCTGAGAAGAACACCAGAAGAGCCCTGCTGGGTTAGACCAGTGAGGGTCCATCTCACCCAGCCAACCAGTTTCCCTGGTGTGGATTCAGTGGAAGGATTCATAGAATCCCAGAGCTGGAAGGGACTTCTAGGGTCATCTAGTCCAACCCCCTACATATATTCTTTCCCCCTCATCGTGTGCTTACCTGTGAAGTTTGATCTTATGTGCTGAGAACATTTCTACGGTTTCTCTCATGTGCATTCTTCAGTATACTCTGTGGTCTGTGGCTCAAGCTCTCTCCATGCAGAACATTTTGATGGTTTCTCTTTGGGGATTCTTTGATGGCACATCAGGTGTGACCCGACTGAAGTCTTGCCGTGCACCGAAGATTTCTACGGCTTCTCTCTTGGGTGGATTCTTTGATGGCCGATCAGCTCCGAGCTGTGCCTGAGGCCTGGTCAGTCACTCAGATACTCTGCCTCCAGAGTGTACTGACAGGCATGGTTTGGTTCAGCCCCAGAACCTATTTTGAAAGTTACAGGCTGCTGCAAAGCCCCTAATGTAGACTGCCTTTCAGTGTTCCCAACCTTCTGTGGGCCGATACAGCCCAGCTGGAGACTTCAAGCGTAGGATTCCAGGGAAGGGGGCAGTCCGGAGGCCTTTGGGCACTAGATGTGGGCGGGGCGGAAGGCCAAGTGCATTTGCAGCACGTTTGGAAAGTGTGCCCCCCCCCCCACACACACACAGTGCAGCGGCCCAACATTAAGCCCCAATTGCAAAGAACCCAAAAAGCTGTGCTATACGCTATAAAAATATTGTGATTATTTTAACTATTTTAACAATTAGAATTGAAGGCTTCAACCTCGCTTTTTCAGACGGCCCGTCTACAAGTATAGTTGCACTTTAGGAATTATGTAGAAATTGTGGAGATCACTGTTTTCGCAGAAACAGCCACACAGAATTGATTGGTTCTAAAAAATACTTTCTTTCTACAATAAATGGCTACCAGGAGACAACTATATGAGACAGTCCAGTTCAGAGGAAGATTCTCGAAATGACTTGGTAGTCCAGAAAACTTCGTTAGCTTTCAAATGCTACACCTTGGACTCCCTTTCTTGCTACGATGCTATAATCGTTTGTTAATGCACTGTTCAATTGTAATTGTTAAAATAATCACAATATATTTTTATAGCATATAGCACAGCTTTTTCTGGTTCTTTGCAATTGTTAATCTGAGCTGTGACTCTCTAATGTTACAACATTAAGCCCCAGCACCATTCCTGAAAAAATGAAGCCCCGAAGCTAGCCCCCCCCCCCCAGCCCCCCCCCCCTTCGGGAAGGGGCCAGGTTTAAGGATGGCCTCTTCACCTGGGAATGAGTCAGACTTCCCCCCTCCCCTGAACAACCAAGAAAATAAGAGCAGAGCCCTGCACACTCAGAGCAGTTGCCCTGGAGGGCTTCCTGACTCTGGCGTCCAGGAAAAAGCCAGAGCCCAGGAGCGCCTGAAAGACTAACAGAAGAGGTGGCCAGTGGCGGTCTGAAGAAGTGAGCCGTGACTCGCGAAAGCTCCTCCCCTGCCACCAACTGGGTTAGTCTTCTTAAAGCCGCTCCTGGACTCTGGTTCTTTTCTACTGCTCCAGACGGACTAACACGGTGACCCATCTCGCTCTGTCCCCCTGGATGGCATCGAGAGGCTGACGAGTCCTTTGGGGAACCATCCCTGCATCCACTGGCAGCAAGGCCCACCATCTCGTGCCTCGCTGAATCAAGTTCTTCCTTTTGGGGTACCTGGAATTTTTGGGGCACCATTTCCCCCCTCTGCCCCATCAGGCCTTGTCAAGATAAAGGCCGAAGCCACGTCAGAAAGAGGGAGGGAGGGAGGGAGGGAGGGAGATGGTGAGGCAGCCAAAAGAGCAGTGACCAGCAAAGTCTCTGGTTCAAACCCACCGCCCAGCATTCGGTGACCTTAGGCCTCAGTGCCATCATCTGCAACAGGAAGACAATCAAGGCTGACCCTGCAGGGCCAGAGGGATCACACAGGAATGCACGCAGGGTGCTTCGGACACTAAGTGGCACTGCAAGAAATGTGACCATCATGATGCTAACCAAATGACAGATGAGGCTTTAATTGGGGGGGGGATGGGAAAATGCACACTTCCTCCACACCCTGTCTCAACCCACCCCCCACCCCCACCCCCCACCTTGGAGAGAGGCCCCAGAGCCCCATGGCCAAGAAGCTCCGGCATGGGGGCCGTCACTGGGGGGGGGAGAGGTTTGGAGCTTTCCTTCGAAGTTCCTTCCCCTCCCCTCCGTGATGATCCATAATGACTGACACCATGCAGTTAAGCCTGGGGATACCAAAATGCTAATTTGAGGCGGGCAGCTGACATAGAAGAGCAAGATTCAAGGCCAGGAGCATTGTGTGGGTCTCCCCAGGTGCTTCTGGGCTGGAATCCTGCTCTTCCAAATGCTAATGGCCCATTTGCATGGCGACAGAAGGCCCATCAGACTCTCAAAGCGACCTTGTCTGCCCCAAGGCCCTGAGGAGAGCCAGCAGCAGCACTGAAATGGCACGGAGGACCCCCGCCACCCCCACACCCCAGTGGAAACTGGAACCTAGGCTCCCTCACCCGCAGAGTGGGGGCATCAGGGAGCCCTCTGCTGAGTTCTGGCCTCTGCTCGGAGTCAGAGGGATTGGTGAGAGGGGGACGTGAAAGGGCCCAGGTGCCTGGCAAGGCATTGGGCCCGTGGGTGACCATGAACACCCCCCACTCCCCAGCTGCCATAGCAGGCCTCTCCCCCCCTCCACCCCCCACGACAGTAGCAGGAGCGGGAGATGCCACGCCAAGCACAAAGAGCAGCCCCTCCGCAATTCCCAGCTGCCCCTCTGCTGCTTCACATCAGCCCTCAAGAGGAAAGATGGCAGCGGCACTTTGGCACAGGCAGCCTGGTGACCAGCCGAGTGCTACACAATTAGCTGGGCGCACCCAAAGGCCTGCCTCTCCCGGTCCTCCCCCTTCCGGGAACCAGGCCGGACCCCTGGGAAACACAGCCCACTTCTCCGTGGGCACCAGAGGCCCCGAGAGCCTTCTGCACGAGAGGAGGTGGCCGTGTCTGCAGGAGAGGCCAGCAGGGCTCAGGAACACCAGGGGGGGGGCTGTGGCCACACATGGCGGGGAGAGAGGCCCCGAGGGGCAGGACAGAAAGCAGCCTGATGGGTTGGTGGTTTTTTTTCAAGAGTTTGGGTTTTTTATTCTCTTTAAATACTGTACAGTGAAAAATAAATAGTCTCGACCGTCACAGATCAAATCCCCCCTTTCCCCACGCACAAACATACAAACTTCTGGCCGCCGCTGCCACCAAAGTGGCGGCGAGCGACGCCTGGTCAGCTTGTCCTCAGCCTGTTTCGTCTTCCACAGTGTTTCAAGAAAGGAAAAAAGACGCACATCTGTGTGGCCTAGAAAACCAAGCTCCACACCCTCCCCCTTCTCCCACCTCCCCCGCAGAACCCCCGTCACACCAGCAAAGGGCCCAGTGCTGCTGGGGGGGGGGGGGGGTCTCAAAACAGCCACAGAAGCCTCCGCACTTGGGGTGGGGGCAGCTCTCCCGCCTTCCCTCTGCACATGACGGACTCCTTGCCTTCGATTTTAAACTAGTCGAAGAGTAAAGGAACAAAAAAAAAACCCCCACAAGAGCATTCTGTGCTAGGGTGCGTGTGTCTGCGTTATCAGAAGGCACAGGTTTCTCTCCCCCTCTCCTGTCTCCAGTTTGAACAGCCGGTTATTTTTTTCCCCCTCTCATTTGTTTCAAAGCAAAAAAAAAGGTCACGTCACCAAAAACAGATGCGTGTGTCGGTCACCGTTTTCCTCCCCCCCCCACTCCGTCCACGCCTCCCGGAAGGGGGGTCACGAGCTCAGGTAGCGTCAGAAGCCCCCACCTCGACAGAGGGCGGAAAGCAGGCAAGAAAGAAGAGGGGGGTTTCCGCTGCCTGGCCTGGATGCCACCGCCGAAGCTTCAAAAGGATGTGTTAAGAGCCGTGGGAAAAAAACGTTTTCCATCTTTGGCAAGCTTTTAACGAGCACAAGATAATTACCTTGGGATTGGGTTGGTTTGTGTTTTTTGTTTTAAATAATGGTTTTGTTCTTAAACGAGAGATCGGTGTGGTGTTTATTTCATTTCTCTTAAGATGTTGCAAGCAGGCGGAAAGTAGGGGTCGGTTCGTTCTGCGGAGGAGGAGGAGGAAGAGGAGGGTGCTTAGGCCACCCCGTTCACCAGGGCGGCTCCCTCCTCGCTGCCGGCGGCAGCCGCGTGCTCCCCGTTCTCCGAAGGGCCGTTGACAGCCTTGCTGCTGGCCTCGCCCTGGAAGAGAAGAGGCACAAGCACGACGCTACCGCTGGGCTCCCCGACACCCCTCCGGGCACCCTCCGAGAGCCCTCAGGACGCCGGCGGGGCCCCTCCCCAGCAAGGGTTCCGACTGGCTGTGCAGACCCTTAAAAATGCTGCTGCGTCAGGAAACGTCACCGGGTGGGCTGTTTTCTGGCTGGCTCCCCCTCCCCAAAGGTGGCCATGGGCCCAAAGAGGCCGAGGACCCCTGCACTTCTGTTCAGAGCCTTCCAGAGTCTCAGACGGCGGCATCCACGGGGCTTCCCCCTCTGGAACTGCGGCTTCCCTTTCCCTCCCAGCTCACCTTCTGGTTGGATGCGGCTCCCTCGGCCGACTTCTCTCGGCTTCCTTTGCGTGGGGGCTGCTGACGGCTCTGAGACTCTGCTCGGGAAATGTAATCTGCTACCGTAACTGTGGGATTGGGGGGGGGGAAGGGGGGGAAGGAGGGGGGTCAAAGAGCAGGAGACAGAAAGAAAACGGACCAGGTCACGAGCAAAGCCAAAGCGAACCACGGCACAAGGGGCCACTGGAGCGGGACTTCTCTGTGGACTTTGAAAGAGAGGCGACCCCCAATTCCCATATCAATTAGTTTTTAAGAAAAGGCCCAACTTTAGACGGTACCGGGTTGGCGGTCTCGGCTAATGGAGCCATCCACACGGTTGCCACGGTTACGCCGGCGCCTGCTTCGGTTACGTCTTTGAGGCTTAGATTCTTCCTCTGGCAAAGGAAACGAAGCAGGCAACTGCTCAGGGCAGAGAAGCTTGGCTAGTGGGTGAGAGCAAGGCAGGCAGGCAGGCCCCCCGGGAAGCAGCAGAGCTCTGCCAGCGCTTCCATTAAACCCACAATGCAGAGCAGAAGGCAGCAGCCCTCCCCCAGCAAGTGGCATTCGGAGATACACTGCCTCTGCACAGGGAGGTTCAGGGACCCTCCTCTCTAAGTCACCATCGACCCCCCTCTAAAGGGTTCTGAGCCAGCGCCTGTCAACAGATTTCAGGGTCGCAGATGCCATGAACTACGGAGTGCCCTAAATCTGTCGTCTCCAAAGAAGGGAGCTTGAACTCTCAAAAGCTCACTCGCGCACACACCCAAATGCGGTTGGTTTCTCGGGCCCTGCTGGACTTGAATCTGGAGGCTCTACTGCGGATTAGCAAGGCCGCCCTCAGAAACCCCCCAAGGGCGAGGGCTGACCGCCAAACTAGTTTCCTGCAGGGGGGGGGGAGAATGGTGCTCAATCCTGCTCCCCCCCGTCACCCTTATCAACCCTTATCAAGTGTGCTCCCCTGCCCTGAGTTCTCTACACTAAAAATCTCCTCGCGGTGAAAGTTTTTCCAACCCCTGACCAGTGTTCCCTTCTAACCTGAGTTCGTGTGAGCTAGCTCAGTTTTTTAGCCTCCGGCTCACACATTTTCATCTTCGCTCAGGGAGGATGGCTCCAGAGCAGACTAATTTATGCAGTAGGCCAATCGCTCGCTCACAACTTTAAATGCCAGTAGCTCACAAAGTAGAGTTTTTGCCCACAGGACTCCACAGCTTGGATGGAGCCTTGCCCGACTCTGGCCTTCTGGAGATACGACAGCCAGAAATGCACACATTCGAAATGCCCCCCCCCCCCGCCTACATACTTCCCATTCCTGTATAATCCCCAGCCAAGGAAGGTGCCTTTCTTGCCCCTCTGAAACGGCATCCCTTGGATTAAGCTACCCAGATCCCCAGCAGGGTCAGACCCCGGCCCTGCTGATCCAGCCAGCACCACTGGCCACCCAAGCACCGCAGGCCCGCCACGCCCCTGGCCGCCCAGGCACCGCCTTGCCTCCGGCCACCCTCTTCCTTTGGGAAGATCCACGAGGCTGGGGGCAGGGGAAGGCACAGGGGTCGGGGCCAGGGCCGGCCAATCCCTTGCCGACACCCTTCTCCACCCAGAGCGTCCCCTCCTCTCAGACCCATCCTGCCCGCCCCCACGTACCCACGCCGTTTTCACTGATGGACACGCTGTCCGATTCAAGGCCCCCGTCCATCACCGTGGCATCTTCATCGGTACGGCGCCGGCGGGACCGGCGCCGGCGGTTGCTGACAGGCTGCGACTCGCTGGCATCGGTGTCTGCCGTCTGGTCCGTTTCGGTGTTGTCCAGCAGGCTGTACGGGTTGCTGTCAGGATCTTTCAAGACTGTGTTGGGAGAGGCCTGGCATTAGCCAGCCAGCCAGCCAGCCACACAGACGGGGGCAGGAAGGCGGCTTCTTGACCCACCCACCGAGCCAGGACATTCCCTGATGCCCGAGCAGACTGCCGAGGGGCGGTCTGAGTTGAACCTGCTTCTATCTTAGCATATCTTATCTCACACACACACACCCAGCAGCAGTATATGTCTCTCTTGGCGCCTCTTTACTATGTCACTCTGGCTTGCTGGATTTTTTAGAAATTATTGACTGCCAGTTTTACAGTAAGTCTTTTCTGCTGCTTATCAGACGTGACACCACAGCTACTACTTATCAGAGCGGCTGACAATCTCCTTTCCCTTCCTCTCCCCACAACAGACACCCTGTGAGGTCGGTGGGGCTGAGAGAGCTCTGAGAGAGCTGTGACTGACCCAAGGCCACCCAGCTGGCTGCCTGTGGAGGAGGAGGAGTGGGGGAATCAAGCCCGGTTCTCCAGATTTGAACCCACCATGCTGAACCACTACATCAAACTGGCTACACTAGACCAAAGATTTGTCCTTGCTCCTGTTAATGTTTTTTGTTTCTTTGGGCAGGAATTGCAGTTATGTTACTGGAGATTTGCAACTCACAATGAGAACCACTGGTTGACACTGTAAGATATATAAATGTTTTTAGCACAACAAAATAAGCCAAGAGTCCACTTGCTGTAAGCTTGGGAAAAGAACCCCACAACAGCCTCTGAGGGGAGAGGATCATGTGGGATAACAACATCAGAACAGCCCTGCTGGATCAGACCAGTGAGGGCCCATCTGGTCCAGCAATCCCTTCTCCTCACAATCTGGCCAACCAGTTCCAGTGGAGGACCACCAACAGGGCAGAGAGGCCGAGGCCTTCCCCTGATAAGAACACCAGAAGAGCCCTGCTGGATCAGACCAGGGAGGGTCCATCCAGTCCAGCATCCTGTCTCACACAGAGGCCAACCAGTTCCTCTGGAGGGCCAAAGACAGGGCACAGAGACCGAGGCCTTCCCCAGATAAGACCCTCAGAAGAGCCCTGCTGGGTCAGACCAATGAGGGCCCACGTAGCCCAGCCTCCCATCCCACACAGGGGCCAGCCAGGTCCTCTGGAGGGCCAGCAACAGGGCAGAGAGGCCGAGGCCTTCCCCTGAGAAGAACATGAGAAGACCCTTGTAGGATCAGACCAGTGAAGGCCCATCCAGTCCAGCATCCTGTCTCACACAGAGGCCAACCAGTTCCTCTGGAGGGCCAACCATGGGGCACAGAGGCTGAGGCCTTCCCCTGATGCTGCCTCCTGGCTGCCTGTGAACACTGAGGTTCACTTTCCTCACCATGGCTAGTAGCCACGGGGTAGGGAAGAGGAGGGAACTCAAGGGCACTCTGCAAACCACGCCCCCGTTGACCCCATCGGAGACAGAGCGAGTCTGGGGGAGGGGGTTTTATGGGTGGGGGGAGGTGGGGGGTCAAAGTAAGGAAGAAGGGATGAGCTCCCCCCCCCCAGCGGCCAGGGAGGAAGTGGTCACAGAGGCTCACCCAACCCGCAGCTCAGAGCCGCTTCTCTGGGGGCTGCTGGGCTGCTCTCCCGGGCCCCTCGCCCAGCCTTGGGCTGGCCCGAAACTGCCATGCCTCCCCCCGCCCCCACAGCGGGCCGGCCGGGCTCTGTACCTGAACTGATGGAGGAGCTGGAGTACTTGCTGCTGCCCCCTCGGGGGACGGGAGCAGGGCCCCGCCCCCGCCCCGGGGGGGGGAGGAGGGAGAAATGTAAGCAGGAGGTCACTGGGGGGGGAGTTGGAGAGACTCTGGCTGGGGGGTGGCCTTTCCCTCCGTCGAGAGCCATTCGCTCTGCGAGTCCCTTCTGGGGAGACCCCCCGGCAGCCCACCGCTACCCTCTTCCGCACCATAGCCGGAGTTGGGTCCCCTGCGCCCTCGGCCTCGCCCGCCGTAGCTGCCCCCGTAGGTCCGCGTGCCGTGCAGCGAGGAGGAGGTGCTCTCGTCAGTCGTGTAGCCGCCCCGCTCCTTGTCGGACCGGCTGGAGAGGGGCCGGAAGCCCAGGCCGATCTGGCGCAGCTGCTCGTCGATCTGCAGGCGCTCCAGGCGCAGCTGCTCCACCTCCTGGCAAGTGGGGGGGAAGGGAGGAGGCCAGGGTTGAGGACACAGTCCCTCCCCACCGCTCCAGCCGGCCTTCCCACCACAGGGCCGCCACATGGCCAAACACTCCTCTGCTGAGGGAAGGGGTGGCGGCTGCCCCTCATCCTGCACCAGCCCCACCCCAAGAAAGGACGGCGCTGCAGAGGAGACCAGCAGCAGCAGCAGCAGCAGCACCGCCGGACTCCGGCCTCACCTGGAGGTAGGAGAGGTGGTACTCCAAGAGCGCCTGGGCATTGCTGATGTTCTCCCGTGTCCCCACAAAGATGAACGGAACCATTCCCTAGGGGAGAAGCAGAGAGACTGGCAAGGGGCCCCCCCAGCAGACTGGGCGCAGCTCGGCCGTCCAGCAGCTGGCTCACAGGACTCTCGAGCACAAACGTCCACGGGGATGGGGCCCTCCCACTGTCCGATACTGAGAGAACACACACAGACGAGCCCCTTTGCACAAGACAGAGAGGCGCTGTTCCCGCAAGATGGGCTGCAGCAGACTGTGTCAGCCCTTGACGGGGCGCCAATCAGGGCTCCCTCTAAGCTGGGTTGGCATGAGCTAGCTCACAGTTTTTTAGCCCCCGGCTCACACATATTTTTGTCTTAGCTCAGGAAGGATGGCTCCAGAGGAAACTCATTTATGCAGGAGCCAAATCACTCGCTCACAGATGTGGAAGGCAAAACGCAAACAAATCCTTTGGTGACTACTGAGCGATCCAAGCTTCTTCTCCCTTTCCCATACAGGGAGTTCAGGATGGGCAAAAAGAAAACTTATTTACTCAGTGAGCAACTACAAGCTTTAGAAGGGGGATTAAGACAGATTCGTGGAGGAGAGGTCTATCATTGGCTACTGGCCATGGTGACTAAAGGGAGCCTCCATATCCAGAAGAAACAAACCTCTGAATCCCAGAGCCAGGAGGCAACATCAGGGAAGGCCTTGGCCTCTATGCCCTGCGGATGGACTCCCAGAGGAACTGGTTGGCTGCTGGGTGAGATGGGATGCTAGGCTAGATGGACCACTGGCCTGATTCAGCAGGGCTCTTCTTTCAGACCAGAAAAAGTATCCCGTGTGTGGTTAACTCTCCGTAGCCCCTTGGCAAGGCG